CCAGCTCTATTTATCAGATTTCTTAATTGGGTTTCTTGATTGGTGTATGCTGTTTACATGACCATTTGAATAATCAGCTGCAGAAATCCAATTATGATCAGATTATTGATTATTGATTATTGTAAACACACTCATTGATGGGACCATTGCCCGTAGTGTCTTACCTTAAAAAGCAGTACATGTTATCATAGCTAAATGAGTGGAGAAAATAAGCTTCATCAGAAAATTACTTTCAGTATGTCGATAACCTTATTCTCACTTGAACCTGAGCATGAAAATGATGTGATTTCTACAGAGTGAACACAGTTTCCAGTTTTGATCACTGATGTCCAGTGAGAGCATCAGTGTCTGCATGTTACAATCAGTGAGTGTACATATCATATATATGTATTTATCAAATTTACAGTCAATGGTTCAACTCCGGTGTGAGTGTAGCCTCTCACTCTCTGTCATACAGCTCGGGGATTCTTGTTACAGTGGAGGCTCTCGAGGGAAACTGGAGCTCCACTTTGCTGATGCCTTTGTTAATTTGCAGCTGGTTAATTTGTCCCTAGTTCTCCTGCAAGCACCGTCCAGTACAGCCTGCTGGAGGTATCACTTTAAGTCATGGTTCAAAGGGTTAAACTAGTACAATGCATTAACAGCGTTACAGAATTAAATGTTACTAATTTAGCCCATTAGCATGTTAACTTTGACAGTCCACACAATTTCTCCATTATTTTCAATGAGAAATAATTTGTATAAAATTACAGAATAATTTTGTTTTCACTTTCACTAATGGTGACTTCTGAGGGTTAAAGGTGTAGTAAGCAACGATTGTTGATGTTTGAACTCAACAGGAAAATAAATACAAATCCCTTCAGTGCTCCTTCAGAAGCTCCGTTCCCCGAATTCATGGACAATGTGAACGACAGTGGGCTGGCTAACTTGTTTTTTTTAGGTCTTTTTGTTCATAAAAGCCTTCGCAAATGTTGTACCATGATAATATATTAGAACAACAGCAAGTAATGTAACTATTTTTAGCTAGGTTGTGGGTTAGCAAAGCTAACCAGTCGTGATTAGCTGTCACAAACATTAGCAAACAGGGCAAAATACTGACCTGTTGGTTCTGCAGAAATACATTATAGTTATCCTCCTGTCCAGCAGAAATAGAGCAGTCTCTTCTTCTGTTTTCAAGCCTTTCAACTCTCAATGAAGCTTCTTTTCACCGGCTTCTTGTTCAGTTTTTCTCGTTTTCACCTTAAATGGTGCAGCTGTTATTATTACAACGCCTCTGGCACCAGAATGTAACTGCCGCACCGTTTAAGGTGGAACAAGAAAATTTGAACAAGAAGCTGGCGAATAGGAAGCCAACTTCAGTCTCCACTGTTAAAACGCCCTTAAAATCGCTTACTGTACCTTTAACTCCACAGCTCAGACCACATTTCAGCATAATAGAAAATGCAGGAGGACTCTTCATCCTTAGCCTGCTCCATGCTGTTTTACATTCATGTAAAGGACAGTAGCCTCCCCCTACTGAGACATCAGCACGTATGGCATTTACTCCATGACCTTTTGACCTCGTTCTTTTCATAGTCAGAGAGAAAAGAGCGATCAGTGAATTCATTCCCACAGGACAACTGCTGATTGAAGCCATTGTAAGAAGCACAGTGTCAGGCGAGCTCATGCGTTTGATAAGGAAAGACTGTTTATTCCCCCTGAACTCTATTAACCCTTTAATCTCTAGACCAGTTACTGTTATTTTAATATGCTATTTAATGTAATGATGGAATTTGCGTAATTATTAACATTGTTGTTTTATATTTATGTTCCATATCGTCAAGTCTAGGTGAGTCTGCACTCACTAAAACTAAGAAAAAAACATATATATATATATATATATATATATATATATATATATATATATATATATATATATGTGTGTGTGTGTGTGTATATATATATATACATATGTACACACACATTATATATATATATATATATATATATATATATATATGTATATGTACACACACTACTATACACCAGTATTGTAAGTTATTAAAATAATTAATTATATTATGCTAGATTAAAATAATAACAAATAAATAAATAACAATATAAATATGCAACATGCTTTAGTTTTTTGCCACTGAAAAACTGCAGTTTCCAACAGGTTTACAGATAACACTGTTGTCTATAAAAGGACAAAAGCACATCTGTTTTCTCTAAAACAGTTCCAGCTGTCTTAAAGTGTGAGTTTTGTCTGTGCTTCTGTCTGTGTTTGTAGATAACAGTGAGTCAAACCGTGTCAGAAACCACAGAATCGAGTCTGTTAGAGATACTGAACAGCTCCACACGGTTTGAGGCGAGTGATGATGCGGGCTGCAGTGAGAAGGAGGCTGACTGGGTGTCCAGACGTTCAGTACTTCTTAGCTACATCAGCCACGTAGCTCCAGCATAAAGAACCAAACCTCAGTTTCCAAACATGTCTTAGCTGATCAGCTACTGTGTTTTTCTGTTTCTCTCCTCACTCTGTTTTTCTTTCTGTGTCGCACCTTCACACATTTTTCTCTATTTCTTGTCTTCCCTCTCCATTTTTCTCACCATTTCTCTCCTTCTATCTCCATTTTTCTCTAATTTCTCTCCTTTTATCTCCATTTTCTCTCCCCATTTCTCCTCCACTCTCCATTTTCTCTCTCCATTTCTCTCCTTCACTCTCCATTTTTCTCTCTTCATTTCTCGCCTTCACTCTCCATTTTTCTCTCTCCATTTCTCACCTTTGCTCTTCTTTTTCTTTCGCCTTTTCTCTTCTTCACTCTCCATTTTTCTCTCACTATTTCTCTTTCACTCTTCGTCCTTCTCTCTCAATCTCTCTCCTTCTGTCTCCATTTTCTCTCCGGATTTCTCTTCTTTGCTCTCCATTCTTCTCTCTCAATCTCCATTTTCACTCATTTCTCTCCATCTATCTCCATTTTTTCTCTATTTCTCTCCTTCTGTCTCCATTTTTCTCTCTATTTCTCTCCATCTCCATTTTTCTATTTCTCTCCTTCTATCCCCATTTTCTCTATATTTTTTCCATCTCTATCCATTTTCTCTCCTTCGCCTTCCATTCTTTCTTTCCATTCCTCTCCTTCTATGTCCATCTTGATTTTCACTAATTTCTCTACATTTATCTCAGTTTTTCTCTCCATTTCGCTCCTTCTTTGTCTCTGTCTCTCTCTCTCTCTGGCTGCTGGTTGTGTCCATCAGTAAATGCACACACAGAGCTCCGTCCTGTGTTCCTCTGTCTCTGCTCGTCCGTCATCACAGAGAGAACTGTTCTCTCCTTCCTCAGAACGGAGAAATGAAAACAATAAAGCAGGAAGAAGAATCCGGTGATGATGCTATCAGACCTGGAAATAAATCTGAGTGTGTGATATCAGCCTGGGCCGATGGAAAGCATGTGCCGGTTGTGTGTGTGTGTGGCGGCGCTCCGCGCTCCGATGCCCTGCTTAGATACGCGCTCCCTTCGGTGAATTCCTGCAGTAACGAGTTTCCCTGTAATAAACGCAGAGGCGGGGCAGGCCTGTCCCCCTGTTTAAGCACCTCACTGAACTAACACTATTTATAGAGAAGTGAGGAGAGCGGCGGAGTTTAGTGTTTAAGAGGTTGATGAGGGGTCATATTCGGCAGCCCCGCTGAAATGAGCTGTGGTGAAATCCGCTAGAGTGGAGCGGAGCAGCTATATAAGGACAGATTGAACTCTTAAGGAGGGGATGGTGAGCCTGGCTCTGATCCTGAGCTGAGCACTGACACTGACTGAGATGACTGACTGCCCCTCAGGGCTTTTTAAAGGCCCAGCATAGTGTTTTTCCTCCTTACTCAAAATGTTAGCAGGAAGTATGTGATGATCTTCATGCTAACACTTCAGTACAACATTTATTGGGCGCTACAGAGTGTATAAAAAGACCCCTAACCATCGTTAAAGGAGTTACGCTTTATTTGGCGTGAGCTTAGATGTCACAGTCAGTTTTTGGATGCAAGAGGGAAAATGGTCGCTCTACATTTTGGAGTTATAAATTTACAGTACAAAGGTGAAGTCGGCCTCCTGTTCGCATTTTTGTTTGAATTCTCCAGTTCCACCTTAAATGGTGCAGTGCCAGAATGTAACTGCTTCACCATTTAAGGTGGAACTGGAAAATTTGACTAAAAGTCTCAGGCGCCAGAATGGGAACAGGAACATTCCAATAAGAAGCTTTAGGCGGCGGAATGTTATTATTACTATTATTAGTATTATTTTTATTATTATCTGGGTAGTGGAAATAAATATACTCTGATTTGAATTCGGATCCATGAGGTCGCTTGATTTATAAGAAAGAAAATGGTGTATTTTTTTATGTCAGTCCTGTTATTTAGAGTGCTTTCTGGACTGAAGGAGAGGTCAGAGTGTGTGGCCAGCCATCTGACACCACCTCAGCACAAGGCGCTTTGCTCAGGGACACAGCAGCACAAACATGAAGGCATCAGTTGGAATGGAACCCACACCTTTTTGGTTCATGACCAAGTTCTCAGGCTGCCAGTTTGTGGTGCACAGTGTCCAGGTGGCGTGTGGGCAGCTTCCAGCAGCATGTTGTGGTGTGTCCAGCTCCTTTCAGTCACAACAACGCTCACTCAACAGGATCAGAACTGTATATAATACCAGTCTGGATGTGTTGTAGTCTTATCCATGCTAATTCACTACACATCTCAGCCATACTATTGTGGGGAAAACTGTAATTCCTGCGTTTACGTAAAAAAACACAGAAACACCGAGCAACAGCGAACAGAGGGATCATAGCGGAAAGCGGAAAGAAAAAGTGCAAGTGAATGTGTGCAAATTTGTTTTTGTGTAAAATATTTACATATAACTCATAATTCTACTTAGATGTGGACATTTAACTGTTTAGCCCCTCATTAAAATGTGGAATCTTTCTTACAGTCTTCTGTACATCCTGTTTAGTGATGTGTGTGTGTGTGTGTGTGTGTGTGTGTGTTTCCAGGACAGTATGCTCCTCTCTCCATTCCTGTCTCTGCGGCTGGAAGCTCATCTAAAATCAGTGGTCAGAAGGTGACCACCTCAGTGCTCCAGCCCCGGCGCTGCACGGTCAGTAACTTTGGTTCATAAATATTCACTCATTGTATTCATTATACTTTACCACACTCATTCTGGACTTTTACCATGTGTGCTCTGTACTGAACCATAAACACTTGGAGTGTTTACCATACTCACTCTCCACCTTTAACATACTCACTCTCCACCTTTACCATTCTCACTCTCCACCTTTAACATACTCACTCTCCACCTTTACCACACTCACTCTCCACCTTTACCATACTCACTCTCCACCTTTACCATTCTCACTCTCCACCTTTACCATTCTCACTCTCCACCTTTACCATTCTCACTCTCCACCTTTACCATTCTCACTCTCCACCTTTACCATACTCACTCTCTACCTTTACCATTCTCACTCTCCACCTTTACCATACTCACTCTCCACCTTTACCATTCTCACTCTCCACCTTTAACATACTCACTCTCCACCTTTACCATCTCACTCTCACCTTTACCATTCTCATCTCCACCTTTACCATTCTCACTCTCCACCTTTACCATTCTCACTCTCCACCTTTACCATTCTCACTCTCCACCTTTACCATACTCACTCTCCACCTTTACCATTCTCACTCTCCACCTTTACCATACTCACTCTCCACCTTTACCATACTCACTCTCTACCTTTACCATACTCACTCTCCACCTTTACCATACTCACTCTCTACCTTTACCATACTCACTCTCCACCTTTACCTTACTCACTCTCTACCTTTACCATACTCACTCCATCTTTACCATACTCACTGTCTACCTTTACCATACTCACTCTCTGTCTTTACCATACTCACTCTCCACCTTTACCATACTCACTGTCTACCTTTACCATACTCACTCTCTGTCTTTACCATACTCACTCTCCATTTTACCATACTCACTCTCTACCTTTACCATACTCACTCTCCACCTTTACCATACTCACTCTCCACCTTTACCATTCTCACTCTCCACCTTTACCATTCTCACTCTCCACCTTTACCATACTCACTCTCTACCTTTACCATACTCACTCTCCACCTTTACCATACTCACTCTCTACCTTTACCATACTCACTCTCCACCTTTACCATTCTCACTCTCCACCTTTACCATACTCACTCTCTACCTTTACCATACTCACTCTCCACCTTTACCATACTCACTCTCTACCTTTACCATACTCACTCTCCACCTTTACCATACTCACTGTCTACCTTTACCATACTCACTCTCCACCTTTACCATACTCACTCTCCACCTTTACCATACTCACTCTCTACCTTTACCATACTCACTCTCCACCTTTACCATACTCACTCTCTACCTTTACCATACTCACTCTCCACCTTTACCATACTCACTCTCTACCTTTACCATACTCACTCTCCACCTTTACCTACTCACTCTCTACCTTTACCTACTCACTCCATCTTTACCATACTCACTGTCTACCTTTACCATACTCACTCTCTTTACCATACTCACTCTCCACCTTTACCATACTCACTGTCTACCTTTACCATACTCACTCTCTGTCTTTACCATACTCACTCTCCATTTTTACCATACTCACTGTCTACCTTTACCATACTCACTCTCCACCTTTACCATACTCACTCTCCACCTTTACCATACTCATTCTCCACCTTTACCATTCTCTCTCTCCACCTTTACCATACTCACTCTCTACCTTTACCATACTCACTCTCCACCTTTACCATACTCATTCTCCACCTTTACCATTCTCTCTCTCCACCTTTACCATACTCACTCTCTACCTTTACCATACTCACTCTCCACCTTTACCATACTCACTCTCTACCTTTACCATACTCACTCTCCACCTTTACGATACTCACTCTCCACCTTTACCATTCTCACTCTCTACCTTTACCATTCTCACTCTCCACCTTTACCATTCTCACTCTCCACCTTTACCATTCTCATTCTCCACCTTTACCATTCTCACTCTCCACCTTTACCATACTCACTCTCTACCTTTACCATTCTCACTCTCCACCTTTACCATACTCACTCTCCACCTTTACCATTCTCACTCTCCACCTTTAACATACTCACTCTCCACCTTTACCATTCTCACTCTCTACCTTTACCATTCTCATTCTCCACCTTTACCATTCTCACTCTCCACCTTTACCATTCTCGTTCTCCACCTTTACCATTCTCACTCTCCACCTTTACCATACTCACTCTCTACCTTTACCATTCTCACTCTCCACCTTTACCATACTCACTCTCCACCTTTACCATACTCACTCTCCACCTTTACCATACTCACTCTCTACCTTTACCATACTCACTCTCCACCTTTACCATACTCACTCTCTACCTTTACCATACTCACTCTCCACCTTTACCTTACTCACTCTCTACCTTTACCATACTCACTCCATCTTTACCATACTCACTGTCTACCTTTACCATACTCACTCTCTGTCTTTACCATACTCACTCTCCACCTTTACCATACTCACTGTCTACCTTTACCATACTCACTCTCCACCTTTACCATACTCATTCTCCACCTTTACCATTCTCTCTCTCCACCTTTACCATACTCACTCTCTACCTTTACCATACTCACTCTCTACCTTTACCATACTCACTCTCCACCTTTACCATACTCACTCTCTACCTTTACCATACTCACTCTCCACCTTTACGATACTCACTCTCCACCTTTACCATACTCATTCTCCACCTTTACCATTCTCTCTCTCCACCTTTCCCATACTCACTCTCCACCTTTACCATACTCACTCTCTACCTTTACCATACTCACTCTCTACTTTTACCATTCTCACTCTCCACCTTTACCTTACTCACTCTCTACCTTTACCATACTCACTCTCCACCTTTACCATACTCACTCTCCACCTTTACCATTCTCTGTCTCCACCTTTACCATACTCATTTTCCACCTTTACCATTCTCTGTCTCCACCTTTACCATACTCACTCTCTACCTTTACCATACTCACTGTCTACCTTTACCACACTCTGCACTTTTACCACACTCACACTGGTCTTTTACCATACTCACTCTCTTTTACTTTTTCTGTGTGATACAGATTTTTTTCCTGCCGATACAGAACATAAATCGAATGTGAATATTGTTCATTTGTAACCCATTATGTAATTAAATAAGTATTTACTTTTAAATACATTTAATTGCATTTAAATAGTATAGTAAAATTAATGTATTTCCTCTGGACTTTTTTCTTGTTTTTCTTAACTATACTCAAACCTTTATCAAAATCACTCTGGACTCTTACTATATTAACTCTTGTGTTTCACCTTATTCACCTGCAATTTCCATCGTTCTATTGAAATTTACATTACTCACACTTGACTCTCCACTTCGGCTGAAATTCCACTACGCTCTGTCTCAGTCTCAGGTAAAAGTGAGTTTTACCCTCTTTTACTCTTTAGACGCTGTTCTCTACGGTGCACTGGGGGTTTTCTACTTTTTTGTTACTGTTACTATTTTCATATTTACACTTTACCAGCTGTCACTCTTTTAGTCATGTCTTAATGTGTGATCACAGATCTCTTAACTTTGTGAATGATTTTCAATCATTGCACTACATTCGAATGCCACCAGTTCTTGTCAGTGGGCACAGGTTCAGTGTGGGTGTAGTTATGAAAGTGGATGAGTCCAGTGAAAATGCTTAACAAAGCAAAGATAAGGCATCAAAAAATCTGCAGTGTTTTATGGGCATGCGCCGGAATTTCATCCAGTTTTCAGCTGTAAGTGGTCAAACATAAAACTTTTGGTTTTCAGTCAAAAAACCAAAAGTTTAGGGGGAAAAAAAGAAAAATGAAATAGGCCTACAATAAAGGCCCTGTTTACATTTGGTATTAACGTCTGTCTCGAGTGATCTGATCATAAGTGAACAGCAAGGAATGTAGTGGTTTAAACCTGGCATGTGTCTTGAATGCATCTACAGTGGTCAGATTTTGTGACTGAAGGAGCGGTACCACCTACATTCACTACATCAGTCTCACACTGTGTTTGTTGTCAGATAAAAAGGAACAAGTCTGTGTTCATGTAAATGAAAGGGCTGTTACAAACCACATGAACCGCCAACAGGACTTGAACAAACAGTAGAGGAGATTAAAAATGAAACTACACAGCTGCTTTCGTCTCTTTGCCGCTGTCAAAGACGCATTAAGACGCTTTAGCGTTCACACCTTAACTGTTATGTGGTCGTATGTGTCCCTGGTGGTTTGAGTGATCAGATCACAACGTGTCTCCATGATGCACTGTACCCTGTTCACACCTGTACTTAGCACTGTTAATGGCAAGTGTGAACAGGGTCACTTTGACAAGTGTCAAAATCTAGGACGTTACAAAGCATTTCAGTAGTAATGAAAAAGGAAAATGGTGATTAAAAATGCTGTTTATTTCCTTTGTATTCCTCAAAGCCACCAGCTTCTTGCTTCAGCTTCCTATTCTCATTTTAAATTCCACTCTAAAAAGTGTGACAGTTATATTCTGGCACCTGTGGGCTCATCTGTAGCCTCAGTTTTTGAAAAGGAGAAGAAATACACAAACAAATGGAGTTCATTGCCTTGAATGAACAACCGTTCTCTGTTGTTCAGGATTTCGTGGAACATTCTGCAGACTTCATACTGTAATAACTGTAGGAAGTTTATGTTATGTGAACTGATTTAGTTTGTTGTCAGCATTTTTTTTCAATTTCAGGTTTCAGCAAAGTAAGTCCTGAATTTTGGTTTTAACAATTTCTTTTTCATATTCATTCCAACATTTGATTTCAAGAAATGAAATGTTCAAGCAAAGCTGATACAATATTTCATCTCCGTCTAAAAAAACATGTATCTCCATTTTTTCCGTTTTTTTTTCTGCATCATTCAAGCACAGCAGCTGTCTCTGACATTGTGTCAAAATTTCATGATGAAAAAAAGAAAAAAGAAAAAAATGTCATGACATCAACTTACAAAAGAAGTAAAGAGTTTTTGCCTTAA